ATTTGCGGTATTAAATTAAACTTATCATTTTGTTGGATGTTGATTGAAGCTGCTTTACATCATACATGAATCCCTTCACACGTCAATTACATAAATTCATAGCATTGTTTGGGGGTGTTGTTTGATTGAGCACCTCTTAGAGAAAATTTTTGTTATTCTTTTTTCTGTTTGTTGTACTCGAAAATTCCAAAAATCATGAATTAAAGCTTCTTTAACAAGTAACAAAAATTAGAAGCTATGATATTTGGCTCAGAAGTTGAGTTATGATTTTGTTTTCCATCCAATTTTTGACTTGATGGGATGAAAAGTGAGAAAATTTTCACGCTTACTTTTCTATAGTTTTAGTCTATTATGCAATTAGGACTCGTCTCTATGCCTCTTGTAGTGGTTGGTGAACATACGAAAACATTTTCCGCAATGTTCAGACCTCGGTTCAGACTGTTGCTCAACTCATCTATATTGCTAATACTTCGTTTGAAATATCCAGGATCCAGTATGACTCTTTTTCTATTTTTAATGGAATTGGAGTCGATCTGATTAGCATAAATTCGTTGTTATCATCACAAAATATACATGCGTGGATAAATTCTCCACTGTGTTCCACATCTTTTTTGATGCAGACGCTATTATTTTTTTAACGTGGGTCGGAGATATTAAATCATATAAGTGGTCTTTATGGTAGTGAACATCTAACAATCGTTTATAATAGTCCAGAAGTTCATCTATGTAATTGCAGACAACTTGATATGAACCGAGAACGTCAATTATTAGTTAATTTGTATCCACCGTTCGATACCATATTTCTGAATAAGAAGACTGTTCTAGAAACATCAAACGAAAACCCGAATGTGAGATATTTGAGCCAAGAAACGGAAAAAATTGAAGAATCTAGATAATATGACTTGTTTATATCAGAATACCCGACAACAAATATAAATAAGATTAGTGTTGATAGATGGTATGAGAACTTATTAATAGATGATATATCGTAAAACTCAAACTTGATACAGGTGCTAACATTAGTACATTAACTTATAGTGCTAATCAATTGCTTAAAAAAGAAGCCCTCATTAATGAGACTTCGTACATCATTAGGAGAGGTAAAATTGAATTGCAAATACAAAAATAGGATATTTAATATAAATTTTTTCATCTGCAAAATGTTTGCTGGGTCTTAAAGATTGTATTGCTTTGAATTTAATTAAGAGGGTTGATTCAGTCAGTTCATTCCTAAATTCAATCAAAAGACGAGCTTTTTGAAAAATATCGACAAGTTTTTGGATGGTTAGGATGTATACCTGGAGAATGTAACATTGAACTCTCCAGTAATGCTAATCCTAAAATAATATCATTGAAAAAGTAGACTATCCAACTGAGCGGGTAAATAGCCTAATGATTGTGGAAAAACCAGATAAATCCCTTAGAATATACATTAAACCAACGTAAACATTTCAGTATTCCAAGTCCTAACGACATTCTTGATTCTTGGAAGGTTAGCAGGAAAAAATATTTTTACTGTTGTAGACTTTATAAGGATAGATTTTGACAACTTAAATTAAATAAAAATAGTTCAGACTTATGTACTACATTTATTCATTCCTATTGGTAGGTATAAATTTTGTAGAGTTCCCTTCGGTTTGTCGAACGCACCAGAATTTTTTCAAAGGAAAATGCATGAAATATTTGGAGACATTGAACGTGTTGACATATATTTCGATAATTTAATAATATCGGCTACAGATGATAAAATTCTTCAAAAAAAATTTTTCACCGAGTATTGACAAATAATGTTAAATTTAATTTGACCTAAATATCTCAGTAACCAAAAGCGATACTAGGACAAATTTTTCAGGGAGCGTAGTCCTGAATAAGGGCTTTAAAATGGTGTTTAGTTGAAATTGTTAGCATTCAGGGTCTTTGAGAAAATTGAGTTTGAAGTTTTAGACAAAATGTCGACTAAATTTTAACTTTGCAGTTCAATATCTCGGAAACTGCATAAGCTATCGAAACCAATTTGGCACAGTTTTATAGAGAATTTAATACTGTTTTCAGTCATGTATACTTATAGTTAATTTGCTCAAATTTCATCAAAGATATAAGCAATTATTCATGAGCATGTCAAGATTTCAAAAAATTTCCATAGCCAAAATTGAGATTTTTCCTTCTGGATTTTTTTTCTGAACGGAATTCTCAAATCCAACTGATGTTAGAGTTGTTTCTGACTAATTTGAACTCGCTCTATCGATTTTTAGAATCAAAAATAAGAAAAATTGAAAAATAAACATTTTCAGTTTTTTGCTCTTTTTCCTAAGCGTATCCCTTTGGATTTTTATTTATAAATCTTCAAACCTGAATATCTTGGTAACCAAAAGCGGTACTAGGACAAATTTTTCAGAGATTGTAGCCCTGAATAAGGGCTTTAAAATAGTATTTAGTTGAAATTACTAGCATTCAGGGTCTTTGAGAAAATTGAGTTTGAAGTTTTAGACAAAATGTCGACTAAATTTTAATTTTGCAGTTCAATATCTCGGAAACTGCAAAAGCTATCGAAACCAATTTTGCACAGTTTTATAGAGAATTTAATACTCTTTGCAACCATGTATAATTGTAATTAATTTGCTTGAATTTCATCGAAGATATAAGTAATTATTCATGAGCATGTCAAGATTTCAAAAAAATTTTAGAGCCAAAATTGAGATTTTCTTCTGGATTTTTTTTCTGAACGGAATTTTCAAATCCAATTGATGTTAGAGTTTTTTCTGACTAATTTGCATTAGCTCTATCGATTTTTAAAATTAAAAATAAGGAAAATTGAAAAATAAACATTTTCAATTTTTTGCTCCCTTTGGATTTTTATTTACAAATCCTTAAACCTGAATATCTCGGTAACCAAAAACGGTACTAGAACGAAATTTTTAAAGATGGTAGTCCTTAATAAGGGCTTCAAAACGGTATTAAGTTGAAATTGCTAGCATTCAGGGATTTTGAGAAAATCGAGTTTGAAGTTTTAGACAAAATGTCGACTAAATTTTAACTTTGATGCTTGATATCTTGGAAACTGCTCAAGGTATCAAAACGAATTTTACACAGTTTCATAGAAAATTTAATACCCTTTCCAATGATATGTAATTATAGTTAATTTGCCCAAATATTATCAAAGACATGAACAACTATTCATTATTGTGTCATTTTTCAAACCTAAAAAAGAGATTTCCTTCTGGATTTTTTTTCCCTTCCAAATTTTCAAATGTAACCGAAAATATGACTGATTTGCACTCGCTTTGTCGATTTTCAAAGTCAAAATTGACAAAAATTGACCCTTTATAGGAAAAATTAAGCTTATTATCAAATTTCCAAACTTAAAATGAACTTACACATCTGTGTATAATCTAATATGAAGCTTGAAACATTATTCCATAATTTAATGTGTTAATACGACGAGGGCTTTCTGAAATTAGCTCTATAGTTTATAAAATAAATTCTAGAAAAACTTATATTCTCTTTTGAAAGTTTGTCTGGATCCAATTAATCTGGTCCAGTGGCTTCAAGGCTTTCTAATTCAATATCGAAAATAATTGTCCTTGTAATTCACTTTTAATTAATTGTTAATGAACCATTTCGCAAGAGGAGAAAAGCGAGGAAATGATCTAATTATTTTCTCGGGTTTCTTATTATTGGCTTTTGACAAAGTTTGTAGTTGCCAAAATATATTTCACTTTCCTATAATTCCGGATATTAATTCTCAAAGTCTTCCTTTACAAATACCTACTTTAATAGTTTCAAAAAGCCTTACACGTTTCAAGATTATCAGGGGCAAATTAGCTCATATAAGCTAACATGTATAGGGTTTTTTGAAACTATTAAAGTATTTATGGAGGAGGACTTTGAGTTTTCTGGATATTTCTAACACTATTCATTCACAAAAACGAAAATCCCACCGCTTAAACATGAGGCTTTCAAGATTAACCTTCAGTCAATGGTCCTTTGGCTTTTTAATTTCGTTAAAACCGAGGAAGTTCTTTTAAAATGCTGTTAAGTGGCCGCACTTCAGTTTCGCCTTGTGCTGACTAATCACCCGGCCTTTTTTTTTGCTGGCCTTTTCGAAAAATTATTATTGTCAAAGTGTGTAAATGAAACTATTATCCACTTATTTTCAGGCAGATTACTATAGAACTTCTATAAGGAAAATTTAGATTTTTAAACAAATCACAATCGATTTACTCGTTTTAGAGGATAGAAATTCCTTGCCATTAGCCCAGTTTCTTGTGTACCAACCTAAAACTGACGATTTCAAAGACAAACAAAACGGGAGTTTGGTATATAAAATTCGATTTTTATATAAATATAGAAGCTAGAAGATTTCTAGAGCAAATCAAGAGTTGATCATTATCGAAATTTGAACTATTACCAGTTACTTCCTTTTGTTGCTGATTTTTACGAGCTCAACGTGCTCTATTATTGTCTCAATTTATTGAGACTTTAATGTTTTTTAATAAAAAGAAGCCATCGATAGCTGATTTATATTTATTAATTTATATTTTATTTTATGTCATCGTAGGTATATAAACAGAGCAATTTTCTGTGATTTAGAGCCAATAATAATTGATTTTATTCGCCCATAAAAGTGGCTTTTTGATATTTTATTTTATTTTTTGGTTTCTTCAGAACTTTTTTAAAATTTTCTTTCTATTTTTATTCCGTATTTTATTTTTTTTAGCCTTTTTCTTTCGGTTAATCCAGTATTTCTAATAAATCTCTCCACTATTAATTCTAGCTTTCTCCTCTGTTTATTGTTGAAGAATATTTTAAATTTTTATGGAAGTCTCAAGACCAATCATTTATTTTTATTTTTCAAAAAGGTGTATGGCAGTGTCAATTAATTAATACCTTTAGTATTTAGTGTGTCAGATATATTTCGTATTTTCCTTTTAATTTGAATCATGGTTCCTCAAGTTAAAAATGTAGCTCTAAACTCTCATATTAATAAATAAAACTCTCACCTTATTCTCCTCTCACAAAAAACTCTCGCACAAAATAAAAAAATAAATAAAAACTTTCTCGCTTAAAACTAAAAAAACACTCTATCGCACACTCTCTGGCAAAATCCAGAGCCGAAACGCGACTAAATAGGAAAACTTGGCTGAGAATAGAGAGTTTTCACCCGTTGGGACGCGCATTCGAAAACCGAATAGAGCCACTTTGCTCTATCCGACTAAAGCCTGTAGGCGTCAGGAATTATGTGTATGTTTTGAGTAATGTGTCATTTGCACACTATTGGCTCTATTATTAAAAGAGTCAATGCAAAATTGAACTTTTTCAATATATTTCCAGGTCAAACTTTACCAATATGTCTTTAGATTAAAGTTGCAAATGGATTTTATTCAGTAAGAGATTGTAAATATTCCTTAATCTTTGGTATTAAAAGATTTCGTTTAGATTCACGCTACGTGACAAAATTAGAAGAGATTTTAGTTGAAATTGCGGATAGCTGACTAAGCTGCAATTAAGCAAATCATGGCCTTTTAAGCTTGCTGATTAAAATGTACAAGCGGATTGCTTATGAAACTATTTTTCTTGTGTATTTGTTTGAATATATTTGAAAACTCTCATCCAAGGTCGCTCTGTATAATAAATTCTATGTTTTACTCAATATGTGGGTTTTATTCGTAGAATTGTTGTTATTGTATTTGAAAATCCAAGAAAATAGGAGGTATTTTTATGCGTTTTTGTGGTCTGAGTAGTTTAATTATTGGAATATTCATATTGCAAAGCGAAACGGTTTATTTTAATCCCCAAAAGCATACCATTTGCATTCGAAAAAGCACTCAACGTTTTTCAATGGTGCATTTTCCAGCTCCATTAAAATTGTCCACACAAAATTTCTCGGTTTTATTTCCATGATAAGACAAACAATCAATAAATATTTACAGCAAATCAGAATTTGAATTACATATTACCGACTCTTGATTGCCTCCACCAGCTGACAAATCAAAATTTGGATTTCAAAGTGAAATTTGGGACTTAGGAAAATTTTCAATGTAAAGACGTCCTTATTTAGAATTCGCAGATTCACTTTTCGTACTTTAAATTTGATAAACTCCATGAGATTGAACTGTCTGTACCTACTTTAAATTATTTAAAACAGAATAAATAAATATAACAACCTGTGCTTTTCTTCTACTCTCCAATGTTTGGAGCCCATAGCCTGCAAGCATTGACCTATAAGATACCAAAAAAGGATAAACATTATTTTGATTTACATGCAAGAATCTTAAGAACCTTTTTAATTAAGTCGCTGCTTACAAACGTCACAGGTGCCATACGTTGGTAGCATACCTATTCCAAGTTTGGGCATAATTATATAACTTCACGATTGTAGAAATTTTTTTTCCATCGCGTATAACAAAACCCAATGCTTAAAATGCCCTATTTACTAGGCAACATTGATAATAGTTGTTAAACTTTAAGTTTCCTTGAAACCTAACTGCCAAGTCTGTTGTTTCGAATTTCTTCTCCAGAACCGAGTTACTGATATGATAATTAGCTGATACAAAAAATAGCTTTCTAGTGTAAGATATAGTAAAACATTTTTCAATATTTATAGAAACTTTGTTGTCAAGACACCAATCTGTCACAGCATCCAAATCAGTCTCTGTAACAAAACGGTGTCGTTGCGATCTGAGACTGACTTTAAAAACTTGAGATTATCCGCATACTACAAAACGGAAGAATATTTAACCATCTCAGTAAGTTAGTTGATGAATATAATAAAAAAGAGAGGTTCCCTGGGGTATTCCAGATAGATTGGTTCGAAAATTGTTTGCCAACCTTTACAAAGTTTAGCCTATTAGGTAGGTACCTACGATTTCAGAAATACATATACAGGGTGTCCCACAATCAACGTTACAGGCCATAACTTTCTTATTTTCAAAAATAAAAATTTGAAACAAAAAAAATTATTAATGGCTCTCTTCAAAAATATTAAAAAATCATCCCTTGAAAAAATCATCCCCTATTTACAACCCTTGACTTTTTTTTTTCAAATAGCACCCTTATTATTTTTTTTTTATTTTTGAGAAACTTAGGGGTGCCATTTGAAAAAAAAAAAGTTAAGGGTTGTAAATAGGGGATGATTTTGTCAGGGGAAGATTTTTTTATATTTTTGAAGAGAGCTTAATTAACCATTTCGACTTTTTTTTTCCAAATTTTTATTTTTAAAAATAAGAAAGTTATGGCCTGTAACGTTGATGGTGGGACACCCTGTATATGTTTCTTTAGAAATCCCGTAAAATAATAATTTATTTAATTTGTACCTTATCAAATGCTTTAGACAGGTCAATGTACACAATGTCCAGCTGTTCACCAAGTTCAATTGCATTTGCAGCGGCCTGTGTAAACACACAAAGGTTACCTACTCATCGTAGACTTGCCTGGCATAAAACAATGGAGATATTTTAGATTCAATAAATTTATATAAATCAACATACAGGGTGTATCAGGTATATGAGTAAAAATATTTCAACATGAGATAATATGGCCCATTTCAAGCTAGAATTGTCCTATTAACCATGGTTAGTATTTTCGGAGTTATCGCAGAATTTAAATTTAGAAAAATGTAAGCAACGTGACAACATTGTACAGGTTTTATCTCTGCGAGGATATAAATTTGAAAAGTTTTTTTTTTGCACGGAGTTTATTTATTTCCATCTGTTTACGTTCTGGTTTGTTATTGGCTTTCAAATAATGTAAATAATAAGTTGCATTTTTATCACTTTTCTAGTAAAAATGAAAAATGTGCCGTTTTATCAAGTTGTGAATTGCACTCAATGACATTTTTGAACTAAACATTCAAGAGAAAAATGAAATAATACTTACTCAGCTACTTGCCAAATCCTTATTATGAAAATATTAATTTTTGCTAAAAGGTTCTCAAAACACTAAAATCAACACGCAGTATTTGGACACCCACACTTCCTGTATCACGCAACCTTTGTAGAACGGGCACAATGTTCTTTCATCAGCTGGGTGCTTTTCTTTTGGGAAATCTTTCCCTAGTTTTCCTATAAATTCTGGCGGCTAAATGAGCATTTTGTAACTATTCTGTCTAAACAAGTATCTGCATATTCGACGTTTGTAAACATTTTATTTCAAAAAAAAAAAAATGAATTTGAATTACGCGTGTTTCCCAACTAGACAAGACAAATCAAGAATGAATTTATTCAGTTCAACGTTCCACCACCTATTCTTTATTGTGCTATGTTGCCAGATGTTTAGACACCGATTTACAAGTGAAATTTTTGTGTTGTTTTTCAATTTTCTGCTATTGTTGTTGACTAAAAATGCATAATTACTAAATAATTGAATAAACTAAATTTGTTTACATCTCATAATGATTAAAATTTTCTTTATCTTTAAAATATTTGTCAAAACTTCGAAGGTCTTTTTCTTAAAAATGGTTGAGTTTGGACCCCATGTTGTATAAACTTTTTTTGTTCAAAATAGGCCATATTTTCACGCGTAAATTTTTTTTAGTCAAACCTGATACACCCTGTAGAGTAGATTTTCATAGATTTTGGTAATGACATTAATCAGACTAATAGGCCTATAATTGACAGCTTCATTTAGATTCCCTTTTTCATGGACAGGTATGTGATAATGGCTATCTTCAGTTTGTTTGGAAATTTATTTGTTACAATGCCCAAATTAAAAGTATATACTAATGGCTCGGATAAACCTTCAGCAAAGCCCTTGAATATACAGGGTGTCCACGTTCAACTGCGGTCAAAAATACCAGGATATATAGAAAACCCATAGAGAAGTAGTTTGAGATAGGACACCGATGGTCGGAAGTGCATCCGTTTCCAAAATACAGGGTGTTGAAATTTAAAGAACTCCCCTTTTATGTCATCTGAAGGGCTAATGCTAAGCTGTACAAATTTTCATGGATTATTGATTTAGGAATGATATTTGAGAATTCGTATGATATGATGCACCCCCATTTTCTACCTGGAAGAGAATGTGTCACTATTCCACCTAAATACACAATATACTATTAAAGTATTCTGCAAATATCTGGGCAATTTCTTTTTCTTCTGTTCGCAGTTGTGAATACTGAGTAAAGTTTGCAGTTTTTCTATTTAGTTTTCAATATAACTTATTTTCTTTTTTAATTTAGCTCTTAAGTCTGGTGAATACCAAGATGGGAAAGCCTTGTGACGACTACTTTCAGTTCTAGCGATAAATTTTGAAGTATTCCGTGAATAATAATATGTTATAGAAACATTGGAGACTATCGTCGACATTTGTGCCTACATAGACTAAGGACCAATCACAATTTGTCAATAGATTATACAACAAAATATACTGTAAACTCTTTGGCTTTGGCCGGATAATGATAGACATCCTCCTGTACTAAAGGACAATCATACCTAAAAATATTAGACAGACACATTATTTGAGATTAACAAATCCAAGCATCTGCACATATGGTTAGGAACCTTATTGCATTAATTAAAATTGTTTATGTTCAAGAAATTTTGCAGGACATTTTTACTACAAGTAATATTACATGAGGTAGGAATTTTATAGTCACCTATGACTAGTAAGTTATTAGATTCACATGTCTCTCCTAAATATTAAAATAATTATTTTCATAAGATTCAACATTATTCTTTGGTGGACAGTATACAACAGAAATATGAAATATTTGCTTTTTGAATTTTATTTCCACAAATATACACTCAGTATCACACTTAATAACTTAATTCGTTAAACACTAAAGCCAGAGGAACTCCCTCACTCCTAACACGAGAGTCACAGTTTCTGTCTCTTCTTACAACAATATACCTGTCATCAAACAATTCGCGATCGGATATACCATCGTACAACCATGGCCATAATATTATAATTTTCAGATATAATTCCGGCATAAAAGTCTTCTGTTTTAGTTCTAAGCCCTCTAGTATTTTGGTAATACAATCGCAGATGCAGTTGAATAGCAGTGTTAGTATTTTTGTTTGTTTGATGTCTATGCTCAGATGTTTCAATTAACGAGGAGGATTCAGAGTGTCCACCGGTCTCTCCTTTTTTACAAAAAACGTGACAACCGAGCCAGTTGGCTATAGATTTTGTTGCAGTATTGTGACCTTCATGAATCTATAAATATTTGGGTGCATCGATGGATGAATTTCACATTTGGAAAATCTTTCAACAATATTTCTCTCAATTCAACAACCGTGGTGGAAGGTTTCAAGCGCGTGACGTGTAACGGAACATGCCTTGGAACACCTCCTACCCCTGCTGCATCATTGTTTTAACCAACAACAAAGTTTCGCCTTTTTTTAGGCTCAACTTTTTGAAATTCATCGTCCTCAGCAATAAGTTGCTGAATATTGGCTATTGGATTAGCACTTTGGGCTCCCACATTCATGTCTCAAAGATTTACAGCTTTGTTACTGTATGGATTGTTGATTTTCGCTGCATATCAGCAGGTTGAGTATCCATCTCTACCATTACCAGCGTGACTAGAATTTCCGATCTTTCTGTAGGAGCAGATGCCCTGCTGAGAAAGAGGAGGATTATTTTTATTTTAAGCACCAGCTGATTTTTCAGTCGACGTTGATTGTGGATCACCTGTGTTGTTTTTTTGTTCCTGCTGGCCGTGTGGTTTTTTCAAGGACAGTGCGACTTCTTTTAGAATTATTATTTTGAAAACATTTTAATTTGTCCTCTAAAGACTGGATTAAGGACTTTTGTAAACTATAGAGTAGGTACTCTTTTTCAGCCAGGAGCTTATTTGTTATGTCCTGTTCTCTCCTAAAACACTCAATTTCCTGGTTCAGTACCTGGATTTCATGATAATATTCCGTTGGAGATTTAAACTTGCACTGGTCACAAAACCGAAACTTTAAACTACAGACATACTTAACGTTTAATATTTTTCGAATTTACTATAAAATTGTCAGAGCAAACATTACAGATGTCCACTCCGTCCGCCATCTTAACAATAGTTTTATTATAATTTTGTTTAAATGATTCTTAGCAGACTTGATTCCAGCGTTCCAGATTACCCCATGATGTGGAGAATAGGCGGAAATAAAGTGCCATTTAATGTCTAATGAATCAGCTAGATCGTCCACCATTAATGGGCTCGTTAAGGTGATATCTGTTAGCTAGTATATAGATGACTAGCCGTCCAAGCCAAGTAGGTCCGCCAAACCATAATTCTATTGACTGGTCCAACTGACTAGGGAATGTACCCCTTGACAAAAAATTGGCGCCGGGGTTTTGACTTGTGGGTACATATTGCCAGAATTCAATAGGTGTTAAGGCCGTTTTACAGCTTGCAAGAAAACTTGGATGCAATTTTTTGCATGCAAAAAAATTGCATTCAAGATTTCTTGCACGTCGTTTTACACCTTGCAATTTGACTTATTTCTTTCTCTAACCTTAACCATACTTTTTTGTTTTTAATGTTGTGTCGTTGATGTTTGCATTTTCCAAAAATAAAAAAAGTGATTATAAGTCGATATAAAAAGAAGAAAACAATAGCAGCAACTTTAAGCATCATAATTGCTAAAAATTCCCCAGCTTGCACGAAAACCTTCAAGAAAAATGGCACCAAACTGATTGCATGCAATGCCATTCAAGTTTCAAGAATCTTGCAGAAACCAATCAGCTGACTCACTTCTGCGCATGCCCTCGTTCAAGTTTCTTGCATATTGCAGATAGAATTGCAAGCTGTAAAACGGCCTTTAGTGTCTGAATTTCTGTGATACGATTACCCATAAACACTTGAAATTTGTGTGGAGATGATTGAATCCACCCAAGAGCTGAAATTTACTGCAATTTTGGAATACTCATAGACTTTATGGGGGCTACACGAGTTTTTGATGCGAGGAGATGAACATTTATGTCACCTATCGAATCAAGAGCCGCTTACGTAGACACAGGCACCATATGCACATAACGATGCATCTGAGAATCCATGTAACTCAATAGAAACTGAATCCTTGCACATTACATGTTTAAAAACCTGAAATTCATTAATGTCGGACTTGGAAGCTCACTTCTAAATGAAGCATTGATAAACCACAGCTTTTGTGAAAAAATCTTAACTGTTACACTACCACCGGATAGAGAAATGGCAATAGGTAGTGGCGGGTTTACCTTTTGCTCCAAGGAGTCCAGAAATATACCAACAACGTTTGCTATTTTGGAAGAGAATCACCTAAGTGCTTTGTATCTTGACATAAAAGGTTCCAAAATATATCCGCTGCTATATTAAAATGTCGATATTACCTTACTTATGAAAATGTGGAGTTTAATAATAGAATCAGGTATTCTCAATGATGTTTGATCGAACGAATAACTAGGAAGGTTGTCTGTTACGTCCGCAAGTATTGAATAATGTAGAGTTGTACCAAATTTTGAAAGTATTGATTTCAACTGAATGTCACAAGATCTTGATACCTGAGCCTGTACTTACTCGATCTATTCCAGAGACTGAAACATTAGTAGACTCTTGTACAAGATTATTCAGCTTACTCGCCAGAGTGAATGAAATGAAGTTGGACTCTTGACGTGAATTTTCTATGATAGAAACACAATAATTAGAATTATCATGTAGCAATGAATTGTGTTTTTCATTGCAGCGTTTGCACGAACCATATAGCGACACTGGTTGAGGTCATGACCTTGTTGTATAGACAATTTACGCAAAGATTTAACTTTGGATCCTGGCCTGTCTATCAGTGATTGGCATTGCTAAAAAATCCTCACACATATTGGGTGCGGTTTTTTGTAATGATAACATGACAATGGTTTGATACTGGGAAATGAAGGAATGCTCAGAATGTTCTAAAGAATTTTCATTGGTAGTTTCAACAGACTGAGTTCCAAAGATTTTTCTCTGAGCTTAGAAGAAGGGAGATTAAGTTTGGATTTGACTTTATACATGTTTATTTTGTCCAAAATTTCAGCCTGGTGAAGACAAGAATTTCTTTAATTCGGTTATTGAAGGCAATTCATTCGCAAATTCATATTGTTCCCATTGGCGAATCGTTGCAGTATCAAATTTACTAGTTACTAGAAATATTATCAAAGGGTCCCATGTTTCACTTCTTAAATTAAGGTTTTCCAAAGGCTTCAAATTTTTTTGTTAGTGTATAGACAACACTATTGTACATTACTGTACAACACTACTTGGCGAATCTGGCTTTATGTGAGGAATGTCAGAATAGTTATTTATACACCATGTGAGTTAAATGAATGTTTATCCATGAGAAGAAAGTTTAACTCACGAGCCCTAGCGACTGGGTTAATTTTCTTCGAATTCTTACCAGTTCTTGATTGTCTAGGGAAATTGCCCAGCAACCCAGGAGTCGTTAATATTCAAAATTTGTCTATTGCCGGCTCTTGATTGTCTAAAGAAATTCCCCAACAATTTGAGAGCCGGTAATAACCAAAATTTGGGTTTCAAAGTGAAATTAGGAACTCCAGAAAAATTTCCAGCTAATCAAGAGCTGGTAATCATTAATATTTGAACAATTACCGACTCTTGATTATCTAGGGCAATTCAAGAGCCAGTAATAATCAAAATATGACCTATTACCGGATCTTGATTGTCTAGAGAAATTTCTGAGCTAATTAAGAGCTGGTATTAATCAAAATTTGAATTGTTATTGGCTCTTGATTTTCTAGGGAAATTCCCTGGCAACCCAAGAATCGGTGATGATCAAAATTTGAATTATTACCGGCTCTTAATTGTCTAGAGAAATTCCTTAGCAACTCAAGAGCCGGTAAAAATCGAAATTTGAATTGGTACCAGTTCTTGATTATCTAAGGAAATTGTCCAGTAACCCAAGAGTCGGTAATAATCAAAATATGACCTATTATCGCCTCTTGATTGTCTACAAAAATTCCCCAGCAACACAAGAGCCGGTAATAATCAAAATTTGGATTTCAAAGTGAAATTTTTCCTGGAGTAAACAAAAAATTACCGAAAAAATAGACTCCTCAATAATAAAAACAACATTTATTTTGCCTTATGCAACTAAATCTATTAAGCAACTTGACAAGCAACATCGTTACAATCCAGCCAAGGATTCCAAGTATACTTGAAAAATTTAGGATCCGCAGCTTCAATATCGACGTCGCCTTCGATTTGCGCCACCAACCCTTTCCTATAGTCAACCAAGGCCCTTTTCATTCGTCTCACTACACTTGGAAAGTACTTTGCCAAGTCGTTTTCTTCACAAGGATCGCTAGGAATGTCATATAAACACACTGCACCAGCTAAAAATAATCATTTATATAGTGCAAAATATATAGTAACCTAAATGTGATAATTACTTGCAGGATCACAAGGGTTTTTTTTAGCTGCGGAACATTTAAGGGCTGATTGTTGTCTCAAATTTTCGTATTCTGCCTCAGATAAAGGAGTGTAGTTTACTTTTCTTATAATCTTGCCTGCTGGACTTTCATAAATTGCCGATGTGTTGTAATTTTGGGCTTCAATATCTTCCATCACTATATTGCCATAGTAGTCGTTGTATGTGCCATTTTGACTTGTACCTTTAAATGAAAAATTTATTCTACCTCAATTTATAACCTAAAGGCATAGAGGCTTACCGACAATCAATTTCCAGTTGTAAAACCTCAGGGCGGCGTTTCGCGTTTTCTCGTCAATGTTAATTAAAATGTCGTTGCGGGGCGATGGTAAATCGTATACCTAAAAAGGGCAAATTGGATTTGGAAATCAATATTCTTAGGAGTCTTACTAGACTGGACCAAATATCGATGCCGTCCATGTCGGGATCGAGTAGGCCAATGTCGCCTCCTGCGGCGGTAAAAAGGGTTGGTAACCAATCAGTTACGTGCATTAAGTCGGTAGCTACGCGTGCGCTTTGTACTAAAAGGGGACTCCATATGAAGGCAACGTTGCGAATTCCTCCCTCGAAAAGGGTGTCTTTTTGGCCTCGGAGAGGGTGGTTGGAGCCCCAATTTGGAAAATCACCTGCAAAAACAATGTTTTTCAAGCTCAAATTTGGAATAGCTTGAAATAGTTACCAATAGTTGGAGCTCCATTGTCACTGATAAAAGCCACTATGGTGTTTGCCAGCATGTTTTTTTGCTCTAAAGCCTCCATTATGGATCCTAAGCTATCGTCCAGCTTAGCTACCATAGCTAGAACAAATAAAAATTGTGACTATGTAAAAATGATTGAAGAATTGCAGAAGAAAGTTGAGGATCATAGCAACTTAGTTGCATATCTTCAAGCAGATTGAGACTATGTTAAGCTGGCCAATTTTTCCCATAAAAATTTATACATTTTCTTCTAGAATTTATTCAGAGTTTAGGAGGCCTCAAACAAGAGGAATTTTCTGTTTATTTTGACCCTCTAGTTGCTGGGCAATTTTTCTAGATAATCAAGAGCCGGTAATAGTTCAAATTTTGATTATTACCGATTCTTGAGTTGCTAGGGAATTTCTTTAGACAATCAAGAAGGATTAGGATCATTATTTTCGACATCCCACTCTCAGATCATAAGGCCATAGGTGTATCGGTTGGTTTCAGTCATTGTCGTGCAAGTTTTACGTGGCAGACTTATATAGGCCAATAACAAAACTCTGCCTTCGCAAAGTTGGACCATGGTGGATGAAGTGCTAGTGTTGCCAGATCTCACGATTATTCGTAAGATTACACGATTTTGGTCAGAATTTCACGATCTCACGAACGAGGTAGCAAATCTCACGAATTCTCTCTGTAGTAATACAAATCAGTAATCAAATATACCTAATGTAATCGGAAATAATCGAAATAAAAATCTACTATACAATATTTAGTTATGTTACGCCGCTCCTGGTACATGCGCGCTCAAGAACACTTTACCTAATAGCACGGCATATACAAAAACAATCAGCAGGCTAACTTGAGCGTTGTATCCCAAAATGGCGGCGTGCGCAGATGAGATGGGTGTTAAATCTCATTGTTTTGCCATTTAAAGATAGACTGTATCCTCGAATGGCGGCGTACGCAGAAGAGATGCGCGTGAGAGTTAACCTACTGTTTGTTTTTGTATATCCTGTGCTAATAGGACTGTTTATTGAGCTGAAAGTGCCTGCGAAGTCCACGAGACCCCACTATGCAGACCTCAACTCTTGGCAGAAAATGCATTATCCGAGTCCAAAAAAACGAATTCATAAACGTTGAAATCGCCTTTTCCTAATTTAAAACTCCCAATAAAATTAACTCACAAGCATAGCTTGAATCGCAAGCCATCCATCGAGGTCTGCGGGTGACGTTATACTACTATTAGTTGCTGATAGTAGTGACGTCACTCGCAGACCAGCTGCCGACTCGAGAATTGGGAACGTATGCTTTTTTAGGATAAGCAATCCTGCGGATAATGAAAATGAGGTTCAGCTCTCAGAAACACCTGCTAAAAAACGGAAAAAACAGGGATACAAGATTTAATAATAAAATTTCAATATCTTATGGATGTAAAATCATGTCTACTCTATCAAAAATCTATAGAAGAACATTGTGCATTATTTTCTTACAAGCAATTTTAGGTCTCACGATTTCTCACGTTTTTTTTTTATCGATTCTCGCGAATTTTTTTTATTTCATCTGGCAACACTGGATTTGCAGAGTTTATGGAAGTGCTTGAGGCTGGTATAAATCTTTGCTTTCCATCAAGAGACCATAACATGGCAAGCACAGGTGAAATCTCGCCACAGTGATATAATGACCACAATAGAGTGAAACTCTTAGGACCAAGCAGACACAACAACGACAAGACAAAGACATTCATGTCTCGCGACAAATCCGATACATTTCTGCTACATTTTTGTTTTATGTCCAAATTCCGAGACTTTTGAAAGTCCCGTCGTGAGTCGGCAAAAATCAAAGAGTTTCTGTTTTGTCTGTGTTTTACCACAAGTTGTCGGCGCAGTGTGTACAGGTATGCTGACAAAAGTAGGTAGGAGACCAGTGTCAATCAGTAGAAAACTGCTCACCTTTCTGTTACACTTACACCATTCCTGAAGTTAGTATGTCTTGTGGCAACTGCAGGACCAATAGGGCATATTAGATTCTCGAAGTCTTCGGTGGACATTCTTAGAAAATTCTTAAAACTTGAGGGAATGTCACCACTTAGTCCAATATCATCCTCACTGGAAACACCACATGGTTAACAAACTGATTCGCATCAACCAACAACTAAATTTTGTTGCACATTTTTGTCTTTCTGGTATGGACAGTTTGTCTCAATTTTGTTATGTTTCAATACCTGAAATTTTGTCGTGTTTTTGACTCAAAATCCTGTTTACTTTTTGTCTAGTCCAGGCATTAGATTTCTCATAGAATTATGTTATTGCATGCCAACAAAAGAGCTAAAAGTATAATATATAAAAGACTACAAAGAGGTCTTATAGGGCATCATTCATTGCGAGACAGAAAGCGCAGAGCATACTGCAATTATATAGAGGAATCCAGTAATACTGTCAAAGCCTCCTGGGCTATTGTAAATCATTTCAAAGGTGGCAAAATAAATTCAGCAGTATCAGAATCACTGACATCCCAACACTTCAACAACTTTTTTTCAGGCATAGCGGAGGAATGCTTAAGTTGGTATTTATGGCATGAGTTCCACATTGCTGAAGTCGTGCCCTTAACAAAACTTATAAACAGCTGTATAAGAACTGGTATTTTTCCATTTGTTTTGAAGAAGTCGTTCCTGTATTTAAGAAGGGTGATGTGGATGCTGTAAAAAACTTATCTCACTTGTTCCAGTGGTATATCTAAGGTATTTGAATGCTTACTTTTAAGCATCAACTATATTTATACTTTACTTTGTGAACTTCAGACTGTTTTCTGAATACCGCTTTGGTTTTAGGACCAACAAGTTAACAGCTAAGGCTATCCTGGAGCTGCTGGGATGTATAGCGGAGGTATTTGAGAGGGGGCAGTAAGCATGTGTCACATGCAACGACCTCTAAAAGGCATTTGACTGTGTCACTCATTGTATTCTTCTCGACAAGCTTAGGGCTTATGGTGTCAATGACCGCAATGTCAGTGTCAGTCTGCTGAAGCACTACTTGGAAGACCGTACCCAAATCACATCATGCAAGGAAAAAACATCTATGAGGCAGTGATGCGGTTTGGAGTGCCTCAAGGCTCAGTACTGGAACCTCTTTTGTCCATTGTTTACATAAACGATGTGCACTAGACTTTCCAGAGTGCTGCTATTTGCGGATGATATTTCTGTCCTGAAGACGGATATGGAGGTTGGTTGCCTGATAGAACATATTATGAATCGCAATGTAGATAACCTAAAAGAACTGGTTTTCTGCTAATAAACTGGCATTAAACGACAACAAAACAGCGCATCCTTTTTAGACTGAGAGAGATTGAGGAGAACGTGGAGGAAGTAAAGTTTCTTGGAGTGTAATCCAACTTTGAGGTTTGAACAACACGTGAATCAGATCTCCATTCGCTTGCCCAAACTTCAAACATATCTTTTTGCTCAGAAACTTCAAAAAATGCTGCCCAGGAATTCCCATTTCCAGACATTTCATGGTGTGTTTCAGTCAGTGGCTTTTTGTGCTATCATGGTGTTGGGGACACGCATCCAGCTCATCACGTTGGCTCACAGACAAGAGCAGTCATCAGGGTGATCACAGGCCTGGGCTACTGGAACGATGTAAGGGGTACATTTCAACGGATGGACCTGATAACTGTTCCTGGTAAATATCAGACCAATGACTCGTATCATGACTATACCCGACGAGACAGGGAAACCTGATACGAATAGGCAGTGACGACTTTCGGCACTTATTTTCCCAGTCAGACAATATGGATAAAATTATAGGGTTAGTTACGTACAGTTAAAACAAGCACAGTTACCATTGACAGTAATATAATTCCATTAGCGTTTATTAACATGGATCCTGGAAATCTGATTACAATTTATACAGCATTGCTTTTTGCTGCCGAAAAATCTAAACAAATATCTATGAAAAGCCATGTATATCCTACTGAAGCAGATTGAAACCCAAACAGAAAAAAAATTAGAGGACTTTTTTAAAGTTAGCAGGACCGGGAAACTGTGGGTTAATTACTTAAAGTTCGTTAGTCTAATGAAACTCTTTATTATAGCTGAACGCGATCTGGTGTCTGGTCGCTTCATATGTATTGTATAAAACTTATAATCCCTACAGGCCATCTAAATTATGCAAAATGTACAAATCTATATGTTATTCAAATGCAGAAATTAAGAATCTATATGGATTCTAGTAAATATAATTATTTTGTTGTTAAAGGAATGCTTACAATTTGTAGAATAGACAAATTTTGGTCCAGAACCTGGAGAGACATGATAATCGAGCAATATGCCTAATGAGAGCCATGAAAACCCAGGGTGGATTGACCCAAGGCCAAGGACTCATAGGTTCTTCTTTAGCTAAATGGATTTCTAGCATGTCGTCATGTATTTTTGTTTGTAATATGCCTTAGAGGACTTTGTAGGGGTATAAGATCATGTTGAGTTGAGTAAGTCTCGTCTCCAACGTGACAAGATCGATTTTGAAAAGTTTCATACTTGGTAAGAGGATCATTATCTTTTAAATGCACTGAATTCATATCTCTTTCATCTGCTGGTATTATTGCATCTTCATTGTGACATTGGCGAAAACATCTTGAAGAGAAATATTGGTGAAAAATTCCACGAAATACAATGCAAAGGTCAGAAAATATTTAAATCTTTATCCAAATGAGCACCAACAGTATTAAAATTTGTCAGAAGTACGTAGACATAAACCCCATGCAGCTTTTTAACAGAATAAAACACCTGAAGAACTTGTTTTGACTTCGAACTTTCACCATATCCATTGGCACTTTTTAAAGACGGCAACCTAAGAAAAGGAGTAAAATCTCAACTTCTGAAAGAAATTTATAGCTTGCATACTTTACATTATAGATGGCGAATTTCTTTTGCATAAGGTGAAATGGCAAAGACCATCAATATACCATGAAATATTCCTTCAGTATGTAAATTATATTGTTTATACATATACCTACCAAAAATTGTGTAGTAGTTTTTGATGGTTATAATCTAGAAAATCTATCAACTTACACAAGTTTAGATCTAAACAAAGCTTAGTAGTCTCAATTCAATTGCACGGCACAGTTGTCACTCCACAAAATCTCTTTTTAGGAAATAGTCAAAATAAAAAAGAGTTTATGAAAATCGTTAAAACACATGTGACCCTAGTTTCTGAGGATACAGATATCATGGTTTCACTTCATATATATATATATATATATATATATATATATATATATATATATATATATATATATATATATATATATAAAAAACAAAGTTCGCGGGGTATCCGGATATGCGCTCCAAAACCACTTATCCGATTACGATGAAACTTTGGTAGGTTGTTATGGCCATCCCACGGAAGGTTTGTGGATAGGTTACGCATCTCGGAAAAAGAAATTAATTTTGAATTAATTATTAATTTAATCGTAAACAAACTCATTCACATTACATAACAACATAACCCAACTTTTTTTGACAGCATGAAACAACGTTGCCATATTTCATTTATTTAAGCTTGCATTCAATCGACGTAACTTTATTATTTTTTTAATTCAAGAACGGCTGGACCCATCTTGAATTAATATCACGTATCTCTATATAAGGTGAATTCGATTGACCCAGATTAGATCGATTTGGGTTCAATGTAAGTGAACTTCTTCTGATCTAAATCATTTTTTGTTGATGAGGGTGCACTGATCCAGCTTGAATCGAACACAGTGTGGTTCACTTAAATTGAACCAGATCGATCTAATCCGGTCAATCGAATCGGCTATAGAGGAGAGTGATATAGGCTATTTTTTATCCCAAAAAAAAAAGTTCGGTTGCGTAAAACTCTGATACACTGGAACGCCTATAAAAAGCCCGGGGCGCTTAAAATGCGTCACTGAACTCACTGGCAAGCGACTCTGATATCGGATTTAAAAAAAAAAAATTAAATAGAAAATCAACAACAAAATTTGAAAAGAAGTGTATTATTCCAAAATGTATTTACACGCTGGCAACGCAGCGGGTCATTAGCTAGTATCATATAAAAACCAATAATGTGTGTTTGCTTCGACCAGGAAAAGGAGCAAAGGGCGACAAAATTTCCAGAATAAATGAGATTCACGATTCAGACAAAATTAGGACATACAAAAGAATATATACTTTTTATATATGCAATGTTAGGCTGTGACACAACATCATTCTAAAAATCTATGTCGAAAGCTGGATATATTTCAAGAACTTAATGCAGACATTTCAGTTTTGATTAAGTGAGGACTTAAAATTCTTTTGAATCTTTACCGGTGTCCGAAGAGGATTTGCGGTATTAACCAGCGACGTTACATCCATGCGTATGAATTCAACACAAAGTCTCAATTCTGAACTAAGTTTAGCCACAGTGAATCTGCCAAACAGCACATTCTTAGGACATATTTTCAGGTCAGAGTTTTTGAAGTATATAATTTACATTTCTTATCAAACTTAGCTTATATATTTTTCTAGATTCAAGAATGCATGGGAAACTCCCTCAACCCACTTAAACATGGTTGGAAAACTGCCGGAAAGGGAGATCTAGTAGGTACATATTACCACAACACAAGATCCAGCACACCCAACCATCTATTTTGACTAGCCCAAAGTGTTCTTTAGTTTTTGTTAGTTGTTTGCAAGTTTGCAGTAGTCGTTGTCTGATTTGCCCATTGTTTTAAAGTGATATTTCATCAGGCAAGGCCCAGTGAACAGTCCAACGACTATTCTCTTTTGTTCATGTCAAGAAGTTGTTCACATCTCTTTGATGAGATGAATATGAACCTTCTTCATCTGCTCCTTTACTAGGAGACGTTGCTTTTCATTAGTCCACAAAAAGGCTCTGGGCCTTGAAAAGGTGTTGAAGCGCCTTGCTTTATGAGTCTTTTCGTTGCCCTCTATGTTTTGGCGTCCTGGTACCTACCTACATCAGGGTTACTTTATTCCTCCCAGCAGTTCCAGCCAGTTTTTTACCTTTCCAAACTAGCTGAGAATTGCACTTGATGGCTCCCAGAGTCTTTCGAGCCGCTTAATTATCGGACACTCAGTGTGTAGATGTGCTATCTTAAAAGGCCTCTTCCAAGACACTCTTGTGCACAGATGTTTAGGGCTAGTACTACTTCAGCTTGGAATTTTGTAGCCGTTTTACCCATTGCTAAGGAGAGTTTAAACTTTAAAGTTTGGTTCAGTTATTCCTATGAAGTATAAATGCTTCTACTTTTACCTTTCAACTGCACGCATCTTCCGATCGCATGAAGTTCCGCTTGAAATATGCTTGGTGATTTACCCATTGGCTCGAATACTCCGGTTCCAGTTGCCTCAGCAGTTTTGGAACCGTCTGTGTACCATTTGATGGTGTTTGTTTTAAGGGATTTGAGAGATTCCATGTTCTATCTTTTTTTGTACTTAGTTCGATGGAAAAGTTTTTCTCGAAACTGGATTTATCAACCAATCACGTCTTTTGGTAGATCCATGAGGTGTGCAGCTTGAGAGAGGAAAAGTTCTGCCACGGTACGTTTTCCTTTGTAGACCTATCTTCTTCAGTCTGAGACATGATCCACTGGCAACCCGCTTCACTATTATGTGGAGTGGTGTGGGGTTTAGAATGAATTCTAGTGTGCAATTGCACTTTTCCTAGGGTTTTCCTACCTGTTACTAACCATGAGTGCCGAGATTGCTTCGTTTTTTGTGTTCTCTACATGTCGGTTCCAGAGAAGTTTAGAATCTAGGGTAATTCCTAGGAATTTAACTTCTTTTTTCCAATCAAGTCTACTTCCATCGAGGCGAATGTTTCTCAGGTTTGAGAGTTTCGTTCTTTTTGTAAATGTTACCAGTCTGATGGTTTTTGCTGAATTTAGATTCAGCCCCACTGTCCGACACCATTCCTTCGTGATTCGAAGTTCTTTTTTTATAAGGTCGCAGAGTATTCCTTTGTATTTGCTTCTGATCATGATGACAATATCATCGGCGTATCCAAAGCAGGTGAAGCCCTGATCGGTCAATAAATTTAGGGGGTCGTCAACCACTAGACTCCACATCAAAGGTGAGACTACCCCTCCCTGCGGACATCCTCTAGTGGTGGTGATCTATATGGTTTGTTCACCCACGTCAGTTTATTCTGCAGTTCTGGTGGCTAGCGTCTCGCACATCCAGGTGGATGTGGTTTTGTCTACTACTTTTTTGACGAGCGCATTCTTTATTGACTCATGAGAGGTGTTATCAAATGCCCCCTCTATGTCCAAGAAGGCGCAGACGGCTACCTCTTTATTATGCAATGTGCTTTGAATGCTGTTAGTAAAGCGGTTTCTGTTGATCTGCCTACTCTGTAAGCAGACTGCCTAGGATGTAGTGGCGTCTCTTTTCTCTGCCTTCGGGATAAAAGTTATTTTAGCTCAAACTGAGTATGTATCCGGGCGCTAAGCTGTATCTGATGAGATTAGATACGGCATGATTTTATTTTGCCCTTTTTGCAGCAGTGCTGGAAAGATACCGTCAACTATAAGTGACTTGAACACTGAAAAAACAGCTCCCCTTACCTCAAGGTATTCAGTGATCTTGAAATAAATTATCTTATATGGAAAGTTAATCTACTGCATGAAGAAAAATTACTTTGTTCTGAGAATTTCGTGGTAGCATTCTTGAGACAAGAACGTATTTCTTTTTAAGTGAAGTATTCAATCCTATGACAGAGTTGCTAGGGAATTTCTTTAGACAATCAAGAGCCGGTAATAGGTCAAATTTTGAAGATAATCTGATTTTGATTTACTAGAGAATTTCTTTATACAGCCAAGAACCGGTAATAGTTCAAATTTCGATTATTAAGTGTTGTATCTGTCTCTTAGTCTGATTTCGACTTTAATAAGTCACTGTTGGGACTTGACTCAAATCAAACCTCACCAAGAACCGTTATGATAGTGTGGTGAACTGAAGTACTTTACATTGGTACTAAGGAAATGGAAAAATTGTATACAATATAATAAACTCAGATTTTATCAACCAAATTGCCAGGAAATCCCTGATTTCAATTCCAAAATTCACTGGGATTAAATTAATATATAAAACTCCATTATAGTTTCTGAAAAAGGATGAAGATGATCCAGAATCCGAGATTTAAAATTCTTTTGGCAAAACTCTTACCCGAATAAGTTCTCCTATTGGCATCAACAATGTGACCAAACTTGTTGATAGTCTCCTGGGGAGCCTCCAAAGGCTTACCCTTATTACCAGTATGCACCCCCAAATGTGCCAGCATTATAAATAGAGGCTTGGAACCATCATTGTTTGTAATAACTTCAACAGTGTGCTCCGTAAATAGATCAGTGGCATATTTTCCAGCTTCTTCCTTCACTGGTTGGCCGTTTTTTCGCAAATCGAATCCTGTATAATCGTGATCGTTGTACTATAAAAATAAGCTCTTGTATATAAATGGATAGCATATAGCAATGTGTACCTACTTACTGTCCAAGTTGAAAGATAATCATAGTAGCTTGTGTATGAATTGTAAAAGCCGAAATGATGATCGAAGCCTCTAAAAGTTGGCGTTTCGTTCCAACGGGTGTAGCCCAAATGCCATTTTCCGACTAAATGTGTCTCGTAGCCAATTTCCTATAAAGAGTGTAAATATTTAAACGTTGATTTCGCAACTTTCATACATGAAATATCCCGAATTTTTCCTCTGTAGTATTTGATCAGTGCAAATAAAATCTCTACATATGGCTCGAACAAAAGAGTTAAAGTTGCTCAATAATTATTAAAAAATCATTATTTATCTTTGGACCAAGGCTGGGTCGTGACAAAACAAACATTTTTGATTTATTTCAGCTGTAAAATTTAAACATAAAACATGTTCCGTATATTGAAACTAAACATTTTTGTTTTTTAATTAAAATTATTTCCATATATTTCATTTTTTGATGATAATAGAAATAACTTTCACCAACACAAAGCAATTAATTCTGTATGAATTGTGTAGATAGAAAAATCGTTCAAATTCTAATCAGAATAAACTATAACCCTTAGATTCTGTACTTAACAACATCCACTCATTAGTAGGTAGATACTTGCCTTTAAATATTCTGGAAGCAATTTCTGTTCAGGCAAAGCTTTTTTTTCGGCTGCCATTATACTGGGACCTTGCATGCCTGTAATAGAAACAATTTGAAATGTGTCAACACAAAATTCACAAATATTACCTAATCGCATGGGATATTTTCCAGTCAAAAGAGCGGTCCTTGTAGGAGTACTATAAGATTGACCATAATGACTATTGAGAATAATGCCATTGTAAGCCAAAGCGTCGATATTGGGGGTAGGAATTTGGTTGCTGCCGTGAAAGCCTACATCATTCCACCCCTAAATTCAATCAATGTGAAATTTATATAAATTGAATCCTAATTGTTTACAAGGTAAACAAAATATAATAATTATTATAGATTCGCGTGTCGATTAATGGTAATTATTATAAAAGTTTCAGAAGACATGCAATGGAAAAATCCCCGTGACCGTGATTGTGCATGGGTATTATTTTGTAATCAGTTTTTTTTTTTTTAACAATAATTGTGCTCGACTCATTAATATTCAGATCAAATTGTTGATTGAAAATTGATCACAAGGATGTTATTGTTTTCTGAATAATTCCCTTTCTAAATATTTCCGTTTTCATTAATGGTGAATTCCCATCAATAAGTATGAAAAAAAGGGGTTCAAGGGTTATTTGGGGCCCTCCTGCGGTGACGTCAAATTGTGCACTATTCCTGCACTACTTTTGAATTTGGCAACATCGAATCTTGTATGATTTATACCTAAGCTTGATAGAAAAGTTCAAATTTTGATCATTACCGGTTCTTGAATTATTATGTAATTTCTATATCTATAGTCATACCCAGCAAGCATGGAACATCTACAGGCAGTTTTGCAATGTTCTTTCTAAATTTGCTGCAGATATTGTTATGTTACAATGTGAAGAAGTACTGAAGAACTCTAATTGCTACTTTGAAACGTCTCATGCCTTTTCTTTTATATTATGTTGAGTCGTCCGCAGGAGATAGGGCTTCGCAAGATCAAGACTGGCCAGTCTAGAGATATCTGATGAAAATAAGAAAGACTGGCAAAAATTATTACATCATTTTGAAGTACATTTCAAACCAAAAGAAAATGAGACTGTTAATCGACACTTATTTCATACTAAAAAGCAGTTACAAGATGAAATTGATACACTAAAGTAAGAGATAGGTTCCTAAGAGAGCCTCAATTAGATTTGACAAAATGTGTGAATATCTGTAGAGCGTCGGAGTTAGCTGAACTTCAATCAAAAAACCTACAATTTGAGACCAATGTTAATATTGTGAAGAAAGCACAAAAATCAGGACAATACAGAGAGTTTACTTCACAAAAAGAACAATATGAAACACGAAATCAAAGTGGAAATAGCTTTAGAACAAATTCAGAAAATAGAGTTGCTAAAAAACAGTGTGGCAATAATGGTGGATATTTTTTTGGTTCAAGATGTCCCGTATATAGAAGCATGTAACAAGTTTGGTCATTTTCAAAAGAAACATGACTCAAAATGTATTATATTCAGTAGAAGCTGATGATGAAGAGCAGGAAATGTTTATAGGCACAGTTCAGAAATTAGGACTAGTAGGTTTAGTTGGCTGGATGCAAAAAGTAATAGTCAATAATAAGGAAATTTGTTTCAAAATGGACACTGGTGCTGATGTTAATGTTTTGAACTTGATGCTGAAGTTCAGTCATCCAATACAAAGCTATTGAACTATGAAGGCTTTTTAATGGGTGTTTATGGACAAAATACTATGAAATCTGTGAAACTAATAACAGAAAACACAATGTAGTGTTCATTGTAGTCAACTTTAATGCTCCATGCATAATTGGTTTTCCATTTATTGAGATGTTTAATTTGCTGAAGAGAGTAGGATCAGGAAGACAAATATGTGATTGATAGTCTAGTAAAAAAATACGACTATATTTTTCAAGGCATTGGTGAATTGACAAATTCATATAAAATTCAATTGAAGAAAAAGGTAGAGCCAGTTGAAGAACCTCCAAGAAAAATTACAATCAGCCTTCAGCACAGTTAAAAGTGAGAAAATGGGCGTTTTGAGAAAAGTGACTGAACCAATTGAGTGGTGCAGTTCTATGGTCATTGTAAAAAAGCCAGACAATATAGTCTTCGAATTTGTTTAGACCCACAAAATCTGAATAAAGCCATAGTACATGAATGGTATCAGCTTCCAACTTTTGAAGAAATTGCAATACTGGACGGCAATAAGGGCTTTTATCGAATCAAGTTGCATGAAGAAAGTGAAATACTTACAACATTTAATGCTGGGTGTTATGGACGATATTGTTATAGGAGAATGCCTTATGGACTGTGCTCTGCACCGGAAGTTTTTCATCGTAAATTCAAGAATATTTTTAATGGACTTCCAGGAGTGGAAATTTACATAGATGATGTTATAGTCTGGGCAGCGAATAAAGAAGAACACGTCAAAATACTGGAAGCAGTGTTAGACAGAGCTAAACGTGCCAATTTTCGTTTCAATCGACTCAAGTGTAAATTCAGGTTAAGTAAAGTACGTTATATAGGTCATGTGTTTACAAAAAATGGTTTACGTCCTGATAAAGACAAGGTGAGTGCTATTTTGCAATTAAACAATCCAAAAAAATGCTCACATGTGCAACCGTACTAAAATACTATGATGTCAATACAGAGGTTGTTTTGTCAGTTGATAGCAGCAGCCAAGGCTTAGGAGCTGTGCTGTTACAGAATAATTTGTGTGTAGCCTATGCCTCTCGAGCATTGACTGCTACTCAGAAGGCATGGGCTCAGATTGAAAAAGAATTATTGGCAATAGTGTACGGATGTTAGAAATTCCACCAATATGTTTATAGAAAAGTAGTGGTGGTTGAAAGTGATCATAAGCCTTTGGAAAATACATTTAAAAAGTCATTGAATGACACACCATTGAGATTAAAGAGGCTTAGGTTGCGCTTACAGCCATATTATAATATTGTAATTCCTTATAAACCTGATAAAGATGTATTGTTGGCTGATGCCCTTTCTAGAAACATTGTAAAAACTGATATTGTTGAAAATGATGATTTAGATAAAGAAGTAAATGCACATGTTGGTATCATAATTAATGCTTTACCAATTACAAAAACCAAGTGTGAAATGTTCAAGAAGGAAACATCTCTTGATTCTGATTTGTCATTGTTAATTTTCTATATCCAAACTGAATGAATGGTCACCTTATGAAAATATTCCAGTTAATTTAAAGTATTATCATTCAATTAAAGATGAATTGTATGTAATTGATAATTTTCTTTTTAAAAATAATCTAGTTTTAGTTCCAAACAGTTTACGTTGAAATTTAGGTTATTTGATGTCATTTACTGCCGCTTAAATTTGGAAAAGTTATAGGATAATTAAACCCAAAGATAAGAACCAAACAAGCAAAACAACAAAACAATAATTAGATAAATGAAATTGAACCAAGCATTTTAGGGGCTGGAATATCTGCAGTAAAATACGCTCATGACGGGGAGTTGCAATAAGCTACAAGAATGAAGATACAAAAGGGTCAGTATATGCAAGTATCAAAGAAAAAATGGGAGAAAACTATAATGTCATAGAACCTGTATTGAAAAATCCAAGAATCAAGATTTCTAACGTAAACAAAGAAATATCAAAAGATGAAGAAGTATTAATAGAAAACATTATAAGACAAAATAAAATAACCACGGATGAGAATATACGATTAATTGAACAGATATATAAACATGAAACGAAGAAAAAGAAGTTTGTCCAAACTGTAGAGGATAACACAAAAGTAATGAGTGTACTGTACTAATAAAATAATGCGTTAATTGTGTAAATGTAGTCCAAATCGTAGGAGTAGAAAGTGTTAACTACAACCATGCAGCATATAGGTAATAAAGAATGTGAAATTTACGAAAGAATTTTTACCCAAAAAGAAACACTATTGTTCAGATTTATGTAGCGAAAAACGAGGCAAAAATAGTATCTAGCAATGAGCAAGACCTTAAATAATGTATCTAAATATACAAAGTCTTCTTGCACATAAAGTAGAGCTAAATTGGCTGATCAATCAATGGAATCAATCAATTCTACAAGGTTAAATAAGTTTTTTACAGGCATTTGAAATTGGCGAAATTCAAATTGATTTAAAACGCGCTGATTCGCTGACGTCACATAAATATTTTCCATTTCGCTCATGTTGCAAGAAGCTGACTGGCTCGGCTGTGTTGCGCTCTGTAAAAGCACAGCAAGGTTCGAATGCGCTGTTGTCGGTTGTGACTGAATGTATGGAGGTATTTCTTTTTTTTTTCTGTTCTCTCAAAAAGGACTATGAATTATTCAAAAGTAAAAATACAGAAAATTCTTTTTTTAGTTGCTTTATCCAAATATGCCAATTTCAAAAATTAGTGAAAGAGCCCATTAGCAACGAAATCAAAGAGAGAGACGGACAATATAGGAAAGCCATAATAACACATACAATGAAGAAGAATGAAGACATTTTAGACAAAAAAGAAACCAAATACTTAGTTACATTAATAAAGAATCAAAAACACTCCTGGAACTTGTTATCAATAGACAACTTGTAAATTATGTAGAAAATAACAAAATTTTGACATGTTTTCAGACAGGCTTTTGAATTAATAACTCATGTGAGAGTGCACTGCAGACAGTGCTAGCAAAATAGAAGGATTCATTGAAGGATAATTTGATAATAGAGGCATTATTTCTCGACTTTCTTAATAATGAAACTGGAAAAAATATGTCATTCAAGAACAGTTCAATGAATAGAATGTTATTTGTTTGGAAGAAGTCGAAAAACAAGCTTTTGTGAGAGTGAATCTTCTTTAAGAGATACCTTCTGCGTTCTGCCTCAGGGAACAGTGATGGGCCAAAACTTGTTTGTGATATTCATAAATGATTTTGTGAATTGTATGAAGGACTTTCATATTCAACTATTTGCAGATGACACTTTGATATATTTGGCTAGTAAAAATTTGGACACAGTAGTGAATATCTTAAGCCAACATATAAAAAATATATCTACATGGTTAAATAAAAATAATCTTAGCCTTAACATTGAAAAAACCAAATTAATGTTGGTTAGAACTAGAATGAACTCAATAGATGTGACACAATACCCAGGACTGATGGTAAATGGAACTAAAATTGAACAAGCAAAATTGCTGGTAGGGTAAACGCCTTGGGGCAGAATAAGAAAATCATTAAGTGAATGGCCAAAAATCTTAGTGTACAAGTCTTTAATTATGCCGTATTTAAGTTACTGTCTTAC